ACTAATCAGGAATTTTCCCTTTTTCTTTTCAATTTTCTAGTTGAACTGTATCCATAATCCATAACCTATCATAAATTGTCAATGACTAAACCAAACTTTTGAATTTAAAGTTCGGGTACTGAATTGTTGCATTTCAAAGTTTGGGGACTAAAGTGACACTAGGCCCAAAGTACAGGGTACTAATCAGGAATTTTCCCCTTTTGTTTTTCAATTTTCCAGTTGAACTGTATCCATAATCCATAACCTATAATAAATTGTTAATGACCAAACTTTTGAATTCACATAATATCTTTAACTTTTTTGGGGTTATTTACTAGAACACCCTCTCTTGTTCCATGGGTTTACTTAAATCTACCCTACAGTTTTAGCTATTTACTTAATAGACCTTTCACTAAGAAGTATATGTTTTGCCATCTGAAAATAATAACTTGATCACCTAAATGAGCGAAAAATGTTCAAAGGCATGACCCATAATTGTTTATTCCAAAAATATCCTTAATAGTTTATACAAAAAACAAAATTGACCAAATAGAATTGAATTATAGGATAGATTTTAATAAATTCATAAAACTATAAGGAGTGTTTTAGTAAACAATTCTTTTTTTATTTGTTTTTATTTTCTACCTCCACCCTTGATCGTTCCACTCAACAGAATCTGAATCTGGTTTGTTTTTTATTTAGGCCACAACACTAAACTATCCTAACGAATCCATTTCTTGGTATAAATTTCTATTTACACATCAAATATGTCTACCCACTCCTAATGACATATTTATTTGATTTTTTTAATGAACTGTTGATATTTAACACTAACAATGGAAGTCCAAGGAATTAAAATATTATATATGAGTACACGATTTCAGCTTGGTTCAAAAGTTGGGCCTTAGTGGGCTTCAGCTTTGACTGTAGTTAGACTCATGTTCGACCCCACCACTACCTTGGGGCTTGGGCTGTGTACGTGTCAATTCAATTCGACAGATCTGAACCGACTGAGATGATTATATCGGTTCTGGTTTTGTCATTTTATTCCGATTAATAATTGGATCAGTTTTGGTTTTTATTTGTTACAAACTAATTCAATTCAGGCACAAACTAATTGTTTTGTTAATAATGTATAAAGATTCCTTAGTTCTTTTTAATTCTTATTATACTTTATATGTAAAAGCATAAATTTGATAGATAATTTCGATTAGAAGCACTTGATTTATTAATATATAAATAATTTATTATTTTACTGTCATTTTTATTAAAAAAATATTATCAAAAACCAAAATTAGGTTGTTATTTATTTAAATAATTATAGCTATCATTATAATTGTGTCTATTCAGGTCAAACCTGATTATTGTCACGAAAGAACCACTATTGTCATGAATAATCAAACTAGCTCCAGATTTTGAACTTGGAGTGTCCCCGTCAAAGTTGAGTTTCAATTTCTATGGTGGAGGGGTCTGATCTAACGTTGTGGTTGTAAAGAAGTAGTTGTAGAAACCACTAACCACATTTCAAAAGCTATGAGACACAGAAGATGGTGCATGAATTTGAAAGATAAGTCGTGCTTTATGGATGATAAATTCCGGACTCCATCTTTGACGATTAAAAATAATGTTGTTTCTAGCAAGCCAGATTGTCCAAAGAATGGCAGTGATTTTCCAAGCTGTAAGATCATTGGTCTCAAGTGTGTCAATAGGCTAGAACCAGTGAGAGAGACAATCAGTGAAATTTTGATTGGGAAATCAGTAGTTCGAATACCAAGGTCAAATCCAAATTTGTTCCACTATTTCTTCAACTTCTTCACAGAAGGGACAAGCTGAATCAAATTTGGTTCCAAATCTTTATCGGACGAGCTTGTGTAGGAAGAGTGTTATGAATGATGCGCCATATGAAGATTTGACATTGTAGACAGATGCCTTTAATCTTCTGGAAATGTCTCCACGTGAAGTCATCAGAAATAAGGTGGGCACAGGAGTTGCTTGGTTGGAAGGAAGCCAAAAGTTGATAGTCGGAAGGAAGCCGTTGTATAATGGCCATGTGGTGTGAAGCTCCAGATGAGTTTTTCTTGCATTGGATTTGCAGTGAGTGGCAGTTGAATTTCTAAAATTGTTTGAGCAGTAGAGGCATCAAAAATTGAGAAGATAACATCCCTACACCACGACGTGCTTTCATGGTTGATTAGTTCTGCAACTCTCAGTCCTTGGGGAGACCTATTAACTTGGTGAAAATGAGGGTTTTGCGGTAACGAGGGATCATGGAGAGCTTCAATGCTCCAATAATCACCAACTAACCAATGGCAGCAGCCTTGTCTTAGATTAACTCTGCGTACGTTTTAAAATTCCATTACAGATGTAGGAATTAGTGGTTTTAAAATCTGCACACCAGAAGTTTGTATTCCTTAGATATTTGACACATAGAACCTCTGACCATAAAGCATTGGAATTATTGAGATCTCCAACCCAATTTCAAAATTAACGCCTCATTTTTAAGATGGACATCCCTGAAGCCAAGTCCACCCAGATCCTTTGGGCTTCATTTGTTTTAGGTGTAAATTCAGTTTTACATCTATGGAAAATGTGAATCAGTTTAGTTATCGGTGAAAATTGGGACTCGTAGATTTTGAAAATTTACACTGATCATGTTTGGTCGTTAAAGTGTAAATTCGGTGAGATGGGAGCTAATGTAATGGATACAATGGTACTACATTGCATTCAATGAGAGCGTAGACATAGAATAGGTTGAAGATGAAACCTAAGATGGGAGCTACTGTAGTCGACACAGAATAAGGAGTGCTGAGAGAGTTGCCGCGCCATCACCATTTTTGCTCGAATATAGGCCTGAGTTCGTTGCTACGACAGGGGAATCATGCTATCAGGAAAAGCTTCACGTGGTCACTGCTATAGTCGATTCTACTTTCTTAGCAGATGGAACAGATTTTAAGTGATGGTTTCAAGGAGGTCAAGATCAAAGTGAAGAAAGAGGAAGGACTGTCGTACGTTCTACGTTTGTGTGAAGGAGAAGATGATCTACAGTATCTTCGGGTGATTTCAGTGATTCAAAAAATAGAACAGAGGAGGAGGGAAGCAGAGGAAGAAGAAGAAGAAGAAAAATGAGGAGAAGAGAGAAAGAGAGAGAACGAAAGAGAGACAGATGGAGAGAGAAAGGTCGGAGAGTAGCTGCACCAAAATTCTAACTATTTCGATTGGTATTCAGGAGTTGTTCTGCAATCCCCACGATCCAAATATATTAACTAAAAATCATAGTTGAAAGATTGCATTCATTTATTTTAGGGAAAAATTATCCATTACTACCCTTTACTATCACTTTGTTTCCCAAATTTTAAAATGTGAAAATTCAATACTTAAACATTTAAAACGTAATAATCCACTATTTGCCCTTAACTATCTATTAACCAGTTGTTAAATGGCATTTGAAAAAGACATAAATGCCCTTCAAATGTTATTTAATTTTCTTTATCAATCACCTAAACATTGATAACAAATTAATAGTCTCAAATCCTTGCATTTTCCATGGGCACTTGTGTCTTTTTCAAATGTCACTTAACGGCTGGTTAATATTTAGTTAATAATAGGTACTGGATTATTATATTTTGAAAGTTTAGGTACTGAATTGTCGCATTTTAAAGTTTGGGGACCAAAGTGGCACTAGTCCCAAAGTGCATGGTACTAATCGGGAATTTTCTTTTTTTTTCTTATGCTTTTGTATAAATGTGTTTTGCACTCTACATATTTGTATTTGCACTCTTACCAAATTGAGCCTTAGGCTTAGTTTAGAAGAATATCTCTCGATGATAGTACCAGAAATGATGATGTACTATCATCGAGAGATAGAGATGTGCTGTGGGACGTTGTGGGACAGTACCAGACTGTGCTCCATAATGTCCCACGGGCCACAACACATCCCACCATGTATTGAGAAATATTCTTAATACATGGCGGAGATGTGCTGTGAGACTTTGTGGGGCGTAGTCTTGTGGGAGGCTGATAAGGGCCTGTTTGGCAAGTCTTTTTGAGAAGATATTCTCATAGCTCTGACAATCAATAGACGCATTGAGCTTTTGACATAAGATCTGGGCAGCCCGAAGATCGTTTGCCAGACACGTCTTTTCGTGCATTGTTTTGGGTCTTTTCGCGCGAGATTAAAACGTGAAAGACGTGAGAAGATTCATTTGGAGCTTCCCGAAATCAGCCCAAAATGGACTTCGTGCGTCTTTTTGGTGCCGCGTCTTTTAACGGCAAGATTTTTCACGTGCCAAATAGAAATAGACCGATTTTCAGTCTTCCAACTTATAAACAATCGAAAGACCGTATAAAAAGACGTACCAAACAGCACCTTAATCTCACAATAAAATAAGAATATATCAGCCTCTAAAAAACATCACATTTTTTATTCAAGCTCTAACGCGATCATATTTCATTGGGCGCCCCCGATCTCAACAGATGTAATTTCGATATTTAAATGAGATCTCATTTTCATTGGGGTCGCATGCGAGAGATGCGACATGGTCGGTCAACTTTACTGCAACAGTCACACTCGTCTGTGTTATTGTTGCGATTGTGGGGGTAGGGCTATCCGCCTATCCCCGCTGTCTGTAGCCTATTTTTCATTTCTATCAAAAAGAAAAAAAAAAAAAAAACAAAACAATTCACTGCAGTATCTGAAGTCTGAACCCCTTAGAAAGGGTTAACCTTGGCTGTTGGGGCCCAACAGCGGCTGTTGAAACAGTTTTTGGGTTGGGCAGTTCACCTAATCATGCCTATGCTTTGGTTTTTAATAAAAATAAATTAAGATATAATTATTAATTAATTTATTTTTAAGATAACATTGACATTTCCAAAAATTCTCTCAACACAACAAACTGTTAGCCCCCAACAGCTAAAAGTTTTTTCCCTCAGAAATGGGATCATCAGACCACTTTTAGGGCCGTCACCGATTCAAACAACTTTCTAGATCGGATGGTGAGAAGTGCATGTGAACACTAGTCATATATAATTTTCTACTAATAAACTAATAAGTTCAATGTATTAATGACCCAAAGTCACAAACAAATACGAAATTTTAACTGAGACAATAATGCATATAGGAAGGTAAGCACGACATATCTCCTCCATAAGAGAAGCAAAGCAGACTACAGAAGCGCTCAAAATCGGCAAGAGAAAATGACAGAAATCAATAGTGGAAGACATAAACATTGTACTCAACGGTAGCATCTCCTGTCTTCAGGTCGAAGGTATGGGTTCTGGCTTGAGCGTAGCCTCTAGCAAACCGAAACAGCCCACTTCCTCCTATCACCGGCATCTCTCTCACCTGGGAGAAAACGTGGTTTCTCCCCATTATGGTTATCGTGCTGCCGTTGTACTTTCCTTCCATGAAAGCAAAATTCATGGCCATTAACAAGCCCACATCCTTCTGTGATGCCGAGGCATAAAACCCCTGAGCCTGTCCGACATGCTTCGAACTCAACTCTGGTCCTTCTGTCAGAGGATCATCGATCACCACCACAGCGCCAAAGCCGGTAGCCGAAGTGTTTGTCGTCGGCGCCTCTGCGACCCGGATGGCAGTTGCGTTACTACCGCTAACAATGTCATGCCAATAGACGCGGAAATGGGTTAGCTTCTCTTTCTTAAGCCCAAGTGTTGCCGGATTCAGGACCCTAGAGTAACTTCCCTCGGCAGTGCCCTCCAAGTTAAAGAAAATGAAGAAGAAAACCATGAACCAGAGAGAAGATTTGAGAAGCCTTCTATCCATGATTCTGGACTCTGGACTCTGGACTCTGGACAATGGACAAGACGATTAATGGAGGGTGCTATTCTATATATATCAATCTGCCAAGAAATAAAGTAGTCTCAGTCAATGCTATGCAGGTTAAGTTTTGAACAAGCCAAATACTAAAAAAATTATATATTTAAAGAAAAAAGGAGTAGGTCGAAACCGGTAAAGAATCAAAGACGGCTTGTCCCTGAACAAGCCAAGAAGAAATTGTTTTCTTGCTTCAATTTTTTTAAACTTAAATTCCGAGGCCGTGTTTGGTGAGTTCAGATCAGCGCCCCACAGTACATCTCGACCTTGGATTGGAAAACGGAAACATCTCCCGAAGATGTAAACTCGTGTACCGGCAATGTTTTCATGTGAAGTGTTAGAAAACTGTTTTAACTCAAAATGTCTATAATAGGGAAAAAAAGACTGGTGACCTCAAAATGTTAATATGTGTGTGGCATTGATATAGTAGAGTTTACAATTGAAATACCCGTGTATTAATATCATACAACCCCTAAAGGCTATGTTTGGTTTGATGGAAAAGATGGGAAAAGGAAGGAAAAAGGAAAGAAAAATCTATACAAGATTTATAAAGGTTTAATACCTTTGAACCTCCAAGGATGCTAGTAGTGAATCAAGGGCCCAATGAATCACTAGTAAAGATATATCCAATTTTTATGACCAGGGCCCAATGAATCACTAGTAAAAATATATCCAATTTTTGTGATTGATAGAAAGATAGATAAACCTATATCCAATTGGATAAATTATATTATCATAATGGTCTTAGTATTGTCTCATGGGGTTTGTTGCATGAATTCTGTTTCACCATTTCATTCTATCGTGTTATATTCATTGTTAAATTATGGACACTTTGGAGAAAATAAATGAATGGAAGGCCACATGATTGAAAGGTTTATAAAAACAACAAGAAAAAAATTGTATTGCCCTGAATCTGTTTGCCAAAATGTGTTTTCATATTATAAAGTAAAATTAAGATTTTTTTTGTTTTTTTCTTTCTGCTCTCAAGACGATACTCACACACTACCGACTACAGCCGTACATCGGGAAGATATTTACTAATTGTATGTTATCATTAATGATGATGATATATTCCAGTTATGTGGTCGTAGTGTTTTGTAGGTATAGATCTAGACTCAGATTAACCACGACAACTTGTAAAAGTAACAGAAGAGGTCAATCGTGGCTTGCCAATAATGGATCGTTTTGAATTTAAACTTCTTAGACTTGACCAGAAAAGGTCATTGATCCTCCTCGAGGACCTCGATCATAGAACGTGCAGAAAGGAACAAGAAAAAGAAAGATTGATGCTATACTTGGTTTGACAGAAAATAAGGAGAAATTTCCTTAGGGACTTCTCAACTTTCTGTTCAGATAGTTATGCATACCATCTCGGAAGAAAATGGAAAGAAAAAAAAAATTGCAGAATTGTGGAACACGTCACAGAAATGGGATTCAGGGAATTCACTTCTGCTCCACAGAAGAAAAAATAAAAAAAAAATGAGCTCAGCGGAAGATTTTTCCACCATTGGTAGTTGGAAGACCTTTTTGCATTCTGGACGGAGAGTTGTTGGTTTCATACGCGTGGAATTTGCAGGGCTGAAAAGTCATCTAAAGATAGTGACCGGATCTATTGGGCATAATATAGAGCATTTGATAAGTATTTTGACAACTGTTAAAAAAAAACTAAAACGAAGGATTGGAATTAAATGCAAAAGATTAAAAAAAAGGGAAAAATACGGAAACACACGATGCAGAATTCTGAATTCCAGCCCCTCTTATAACTAGCCCTGTCCCCTCGATAAACCACATCCTGCCCGTGAATTTGGCATCAATTCACGGTCAGATGCATTCCCCCTATACTTTGGGCCTAGTAAATTTTGAGTTGGGCTGATTTGTACTTCTCCCAAAAAAAATGATACGCCCCTTTTGGCCTATGGGGGTGTATCAAAACTTTGCGACAAAGACCCCATGAAGTTTTAAAGTCCGACAAAGAGCCCTAGGTTATGTGGTGGGGAAGTTAACTTACCAAAATACCTGATGTAACTATTTCCTGGTCATGTATTAATTTTTTTTGTGATGTATCAATTTTTTGGCTAAGTACCTTGTTAGTGACGTCTGCTCCCAAGTGGCCTGTGACTCAGAGGCTGAAGTGGAGCTCCTTAGTGACGAGCTGTCCGGTGGCGAGCTACCTAGTGGCAAACTACCTGGTGGTGAGCTACCTGGTGGCGAACTACCTTGATGAGCTGCTTGGTGGTGAGTTACCTGATGGCGAACTGCCTTGTGGTGAGCTACCTAGTGGCGAACTACCTAGTGGCGAACTGCTTGGGAGGTGCCGAGCTGCCTGGGAGGTGTCGGGCAGGTGCCGAACTGACAAGGTGCCGAGTTGGGCAGGTTAGGTGACGAGCTTCCTTGCTCTTTAGAGTCCTGCAAGGAACCAAATGTCAGAGGACCCGAGGTGGCTAACCCGGTGAGGTCGCTCCGATGCTTAAGTCAATACTCTAATAGTAGACTGCGAGTTAAAAATCATAAAGTATGAGAGCTAGAATATGCTTACTTGCTTATTTGCTCCCTACTTGCCCTTGGGGTTGGTGCTTTTATATAGGCATTGTTTGGCGTGGGCTTCACGCACCATATCCGAGATTTCTATGAGGCCATCTAAGTGATTCGAGATTCCTAGAGGCAACCACCATGCACGTTGACCACCCTCCAGATCGTTCCACACGTGGGCTAACTTCCCAAGATCGTGGGAGTGTTAGGATATGCATGTCGAATTCGTCGGCGAACACGTCTTGTAAGTCGCTAGATCGGTGCCTGGGCCAGGTTGCCACCTCGTGCTTGTGCCAGGTCGCGCCTGTGCTAGGTTGTGCCTGTGCCAGGTCGCGCCTATGCCAAGTCGCGCCTGTGCCAGGTCGTGCCTGTGCCAAGTCATGCCTATGCCAGCTCGTGCCTGTGCCAGGTCACACCTGTACCAGGCTGCCAGGTCGCGCTTGTACCAGGCTACCAGCTCGTGCTTGTGCCAGGTTGCGCCTGTGCCAGGCTACCAGCTCGTGCCTGTGCCAGGCTRCYAGCTCGYGCCTGTGCYAGGCTACCAGCTCGTGCYTGTGCYAGGYTRCCAGCTCGTGCTTGTGCCAGGTTGCCAGCTCGCGCCAGGGCCAGGTGGCGCCTGAGCCAGGCTACCAGCTCGGGCTTGTGCCAGGCTGCCAGGTCGCGCCAGGGCCAAATTGCCAGATCGTGCCTGTGCCAGGCTGCCAGGTCGCACCAGGGCCAGGCTGCCAGGTCGTGCCAGGGCCAGGCTGCCAACTCGCGCCAGGGCTAGGCTGCCAACTCGCACTTGTGCCAAGCCTGGGCTAAGTCATGCCTGTGCCAAGCTGCCAGGTGGGACACCATCAACTTGTCTAAGGCAAGTTATTGCCAAAGTATTTTCGGGTATCACTTATTTGTTCTGAGGTACCATGTGTCCCAATATCATTGGAGGGCCAAATCCGCCCAGTATCCATAATCCATAACCTATTATCAATGATCAAACTTTTGAATTCAAATAATATTCTTAACTCGTTTTTTTGTTTTTTGCCTCTACCCTTGATTGTTCAACTCAACAGATTCGGATTTGTTTTTTATTTAGGTCCATACCATCCTAACGAGCGTGTCCATTTCTTAGTATAAATTTGTATCTACACATCAAATATGTCTCCGCCCACTCCTAATGATATATTACTTTGATTTTTTTAACAAACCGTTGATGATGCATGGATGGATCATATATTTGGGTAGGTTATGTGATTCCAATGTTTTCTTTATTTCATGAAATTTTTAACAAATTTCAGCTTGTTGCAGTAAGTGTGATTAAACCTATCTCATACACAAATTCAGACATGCATATCCCTTAGGCTCACCATTAATGTGTAACAAAGCAATTTCTTCGCTTCTTTGTTCTTTAGAAACATTGGTCAAATTAACTTTGATTCCTTCTATTATCATTGGGGAAAATCTATGATACTAGAAAAATATGATACTGGAACCAATCAAATCACCCCCATGAATTATAATCAATATTGAGTATTAGGATTGGTCACTTCTTTTGTGATAGGGACTGATTGGCCGTAAGTTTTTTTTTGATTTCATGTCTTTCTAGCATCATAGTCAAACCCATTATTATAAGACCAAAATGCAAATGAGAACCACACTTTATTTCATCATTATATACAATTATCACACAGCAAAAGCGGCACTATTGGAATCATGTAGCATTGGGCTCAACTATAATTTCTTATGTGAATCTTTTGTCAAATTCATCTCAACTATTATTTAATATATATATATATATAGGTAACCCATATCCCCAAATACTGGTGCATGTGAATTTTGGATCACCTATCTTCCAACACCCTATCAATATCATCTGACTCCGCACATCTTATGCATGGCAGGTCCCACTTTTATGATGGGCCCAAGCTTTCTTCGACTATTCTAAAATAAACACAAAATAATTGGGCTCAAGCTATATTTTCCTTTATGAATTTTCTGCCAAGCTTTTCTCGATAAATATTTAATATTAATATTTGGTTCACTTCATTAACACTCAAGCTTTCTTCCACAATTGTACCTTAAGTACACAATAATTGGGCTCAACTATATTTTCTTTTGTCATATTTATCAACTCATATGCACGTTTCCATTTCCCTCAATTAGTTTGAATAAAAAGTTTAGTTTTATTTTGGGAAAATTAATTACAAAGGCTGGCTGTTGCCTATATTTCCTTTCCGATGCTGAACCAAAGGTCTCAACTGTTACAGAGAATCTTTCTTTACTCAATCTCCAAGGCTGTGTTTGGTTTGAAGAAAAAGGTAGGGAAAGGAAGGAAAACTTATACAAGGTTGTGAAGGTTTTCCTACTTTTCCCTTCATTTCCCTACCTTTTTTTTAAACCAAATACAGCGGGATCAAACCAACAATAAGCTAAATGAGCTAGTAAATCTATTTACTAGTTGGGAGCTTTTGGTGCATAGTATTTTATCCCATTTAGGCCATGTTTGGGAGTACTTAAAAATAAGTGTTCATTCAAAATAAGTGTTTATTTGGGCCATTAAGCACTTATTGGTATTTGGGAAATAAGTCCGGAATAAGTGCTTTTTTTAGCCCAAATTTCTAGTTTTTTTAAGTGTTTATACAATAAGCACTTATTCAATTTTTTTCTTCCAAAATTATCCCTAGTTGAATTTTAAAATACCACTTATAATATTATCCCTAGTTGAATTTTATAGAAGCACTTTTACGAAAGCACTTTATAAAAGTACTTTTGTAAAAGTACTTTCGTAAAAGTATATTTATGAAAGTGCTTTCATAAAAGTACATTTATAAAAGTGCTTTTGTAAAAGTGCTTTAATAAAAACTTTTTATAAAAATGCTTTCATAAAAGTACTTTCACAAAAGTTCTTTCGTAAGGGTACTTTCTTAAAAGCATTTATAAAAAAAAGGATACTTTCTTGAAAGTGCTTTCATAAAAGTACTTTTATAAAAATGCTTTCATGAAAGTACTTTTATAAAAGTGCTTTCATAAAAGTACTTTTATAAAAGTGCTTTCATAAAAGTACTTTCATAAAAATGTTTTATAAAAGTATTTTCAAAGGGTATATTTTGAAAATTTAAAAGAAAATGAAGGACAAAATAGTCATAAATGCTTATTTAAGAGCTTATTAAAGAAAAAGACTACCAGACGCCCAATATAAAATAAGTGTCAAATGCAAATAAATATTTATTCGAATAAGCACTTGTTTCTAAACACTTACTTTTATCTTAAACACTCCCAAACATGGCCTTAGTTTTTCATCTGCCCTTTGCTAAAAGAATATTAGTGAGAAATACTCTTTTACCTCACACCCATGGTAACTTGGGCTTGGGCCCTTGTGGTCGGGTGGCCTCAAACAAATACGCCAAACTCTTACTTTAACATTAGGCTCAGTTTGGAAAGAATACAAATACAAATATGTAAAGTACATGTAAATACACACAAAATAATTGAGCCTTAACATTTGCCAGCCTATCTCCACACTCGTTGGGTGATGCTGTATTTTGACCTATACAATAATTTCATAGTATGATAGAAGGCAGGGGCGGAGCCAGGGGGGATCCGGGGGAGCCATGGCCCCCCCTATAGTGCAGAATTCTCTACTTGGAGTAGAGCTTTTCATGTAAAATTCCCCCTCCTAAACTCTCCACCCCAATGGTTGCCCCCCCCCTATGGGACCATCTATACTTATTGCCCCCCTCCCCCATTTCACTTCAGGTTTTGGCCCCCTCACAAAAAATTTCTTACTCCGCCCCTGACAGAAGGGGTTGCTAAATTTAGAGTTAGGAGGTCTTCTGGCCTTGATTTGATTGGGTTGTAGAGAGGGAATCCGATTCCGTGATGACTTTCAATTTCAAAGACTTGCTTTCCCAAGAGAAGTGTGTACTAATGGCCAATAATTTGCATGGAAGCTTCTTCATTGGTAGGCTTCTAGGTTCTAGCTTGGCCCATGTAAGTAGCTGGATAGAATTAATAATAGCCGAAAATGTGTGCAATATCGAGATATAGGCATTTAGTGATTAAACAAGGGAGGGATAATAGGGCCCAAAAGTTACCCTATTTTTTAAAATTTTTTTAAAAATATTATTTTTACTGATATTAGGGCTCAAAAGTTGCCCTTGTATGTTATTATTCCATTAAACAATCTTAAATATATTTTAAAAAAACGAAAATTAAAACTTAATCCACCCTATATGGATTTTTATTAGGTTTTTGGGTTTTATTTACCAACAACTTCACTTATTATTCGCTACCCTTTTGAATTTTGATATCCCCACCTGTTACTGTTCCAATTGTATTAAAGTAAACAACCGTTGTTTATCAAATAATGGACAATCTAGGGCCTATTTGGAAGGGCTGAAGTTAAGGGTGCAAATGGATCTGATTCGATCCAATCTTATTTGATCGAATTTGAGTCATCCCGGTTTGGATCGGATTAAATTGGAAAATAGAATTAGTTTGGATTCGGAGCACCCCTTATTCGATTCGAGAAGATCCGATTTGATATATATATATATATATATATATTATAATACATATATATATGTTATTTATTTATTTATAAAGGACAAATTTCTTAAACTATCCCTAATGTTTCTGACAATTGACTAGCTCTACCCTTATCATTATCAGCTGTTAATATTTTGTCAAATTTTGTACACATGACACCACATGACCTATAATTTTTTTAAACCTAATTTTACCCTTCACTCTCTCTCTTTCTTCTTCCCCTAGCAGCGGACCCCTCCATCTTTGGCCTCTCTCTGTCTCTCTCCTTCTTCTTCCCCTTTTGCAACTTGTCTCGAATATGCAAGGATGCAGTAGTGAACCCAGGAGACTTTCACGAACTAAAGCATCAGGAGATAAAAGTAGGGCTACTCACGGATCGGATTCGGTAAAGACATATCTGATCTGACCCGTTAAAAAAATCTGATTGATCTGAATCCGATAAGGATCCATCAGATTTTTAAAAGTATGATTCTGAATTCGAATATATTATTAGATATCCAATTGAAATCTGATTTGATTAGAATTATATTTATAAAATAACATATTATATTATTTATATAATATAATAATATATTAAAATATATAATATATAATTATATAAATAATATATAGAATATACATATATAATATATAATATTTCATAATTAATGGATCAAATCGGGTCACAATGGATCGGATCGACCAATATCTGAATTCGATCCATTAAGTTAATGGATCGGATAATCCGATCCAATCCGATTTGTTAGGATCGGGAGAGATATCCGAATCCGCCTCTTAATGGATCGGATCTAATCCGACTTATTTGCAGCCCTAGATAAAAGAGGCGAGTGAGTGACTTGCCGTCAACGAACCTAGATCTATAACTTCATCTCCGCCTTCGACGTCACGTCTACCGTGTGCCTATTGTCACCGTCTGGTTATTGAGGGAGCAAGTATAAGGTATGACTGATTTCATGGGAGTTTTTTCTCTTCTTCTGAATCTCGGCTAGCAACGGACAGCCTTGGAAGAGAGATGGAAACTCGTTCTCGGCTAATCGTCTTGGAAAAAACTATGAAACCCAGGTTTTGGTTCTCCAAGCACCTCTATTATCCGATAGGGAAAATTCCTGATTAGTACCCTATACTTTGGGCCTACTGCCACTTTGGTCCCCAAGCTTTAAAATGCGACAATTCAATACCCGAACTTTCAAAAAATGACATTCCAGTACCTGCTATTAATTAGTTGCTAACCAGCCGTTAAGTGGCATTTGAAGAAGACACAAATGCCCTTTGAGTGTCATTTAATTTTCTTTATCAACCATCCAAACATTGACAAAAAAATTAACAGTCTCAAATCCTTTCCTCTTCTATTCAAGAAAGTTGGGGTCACCAGAATGCCCACTCAAACGTGACCCCAACTTTCTTGAATGAAAAAGGCAAGGATTTGGGATTGTTAATTTTTTGTCAACATTTAGATGGTTAATAAAGAAAATTAAATACCACTTAAAGGGTATTTGTGTCTTTTTCAAATGTCACTTAACGACTGGTTAACAACTAGTTAATGGCAGACACTGGATAGTCACATTTTAAAAGTTTGAGTACTGAATTGTTGCATTTTAAAGTTCAGGGGACCAAAATAGCACTAGGCCCAAAGTATAGGATACTAATCGGAAATTGTCACGTTTAGATGGTCTTCTATGCATATTTGGCCTAGAAAAATGGTCCAATGCACAAGATAAAAGGAGAGGTAGACATCCACGACTGATAGCCACCTGGGCAAATCTGTGAGGCAACATGACGGAAACCGACCTGTATACAATTCATCAAATTGGTATGCGACCTGCACCCCTATTCTTCTTCTTGTCCACCTCAAGAAAAAACTAAACAGAACTTTCCTTCCATCCCAAATGCGGGCTGGACATTGGACAAGTAGAGGCTCGAATCAGGTACCCAACAGGAAGAATTTGCCTGGGCCTCAGGCCAGGTCCCTTTCAAAACTAAACAAAAGCTAAAACCAAAGACTGGCCCATGTCTTTCCCCTATGGACAAAGTACTAAACTAGTAAATACTGAAATCTTTCCCCTATGGACAACTTTTCACTTTCACCGCAAATAACCGAGAAGAAGAAGAAGAAGAAAAATGTGTTTGACAAAGGCGAATGAATATAAAAAAAAAATCTAAGTTTTTATTTTTTAATAAGGTTCCGTTTGGGTCACAGGTATAGGGGTTTGGAATCCGAATTGGAATGGGCTATTCTGATTTCTGATTTTAACTGTTTGGTTGGGTGGAATCATAATTCCATTCCCATTCCTGTTGAAATGGCATTCTCATTCCTTGTCCCTCCCTTGGGAATAAAATCTCATTCCTCCTTATTCTAATTCTCATTCCTATTCCTGTCTGAACCAAACAGACTATAAGAATAGATTTTCAATTTCCATTCCGAAAAATTCCAATTCCTACTATAAACGAAATTGACCCTTATTCTTCTTAAATTTTAGAATTGGATGACAAGGCGAGTCAAACAAACAGTTATCATAAAACTACAGGTCAGAAAAAATGTAACCATCGGAGCCTGAAGAACACAAATTCAATTATTGATTTTGGTTTCTAAACCAAACGGACCCTAAGATCTTTATAATGGCAATAAGACGGAAGAAGGCTTAGTAATGGATTACGAAAACATCATATTCAAGAACTGCATCTCCAGTTTTGAGGTCCAACGCCTGAGTCTTCACCAAAGCATAACCTCGGGCAAATCGGAAAATTCCACTCCCTCCGATCACCGGCAGCTCCCTCACCTTAGGCCCCACAGGCTCTCTCCCTAGTACACTAAGCGTGCTCCCGTTATACTTCCCTTCGGAGAAGACAAAGTTGAAGGCCAATAAAAAGGATAGTTCACTTTGTGAAGTGGCAGAATAGATTCCCTGAGCTCTTCCAACAGCCTTCGAAGTCAACTCTGGAGTTTCCGTCAAAGGATCATCCATCACTACAACCGCACCGAAAAATGTGGCTGATTTGTTGGTGATTGGTGCTTCTGCAACTCGAACAGCAGTTGGATTACGACCACTGACAATGTCATGAAAGTAGAAGTGAAGGTGGGTTATCTTTTCTTGCTTAAATCTCATGGATTCAGGTGATAGAGTTCGGGCAAAGCTCTGAGATTCACCATTGACCATAACACTACTCAAGGAGAAAATGAAGAAGAAGAAGAAATAAGTGAGTAAAAGGATGAATGAAGAGGTGGATTTGCAGAGACTATTTCTAGGCATGGAGGAAGAGAGGACGCAGAACCACCTCGGCTACTCCAAAGAGTGGAAAACTGACTTTGGGTTTAACGGGATTTGTTCGTCTATATAAATAAATTAAAGAGAAGGAGGTTACCTTTAACGGGATTTATTTGGCTACTCCAAAAGTCATAACGGAAGTTTTGAACTCTAGGAGTAGTTAGGCTGTTCCATCATTTAATCAGACGCTTAACAAAATTAAAATAGTAAAGAGTGGTTACATGCATGGAATGGAAAAGGTGTAGGATATGCGTGGGAAAAGGTATATATTAGGTGTTATAAAGTTTTAAAATCTAAGCATAATAAAAGGTTCTAAACATCATCCAAATCCGCTGGATGTTAATAATAGAGTTGCTTTGTGCGATTTTTCAACTTTCTTTTAAAATTATTTTTATTTAAAAGGGTGTTGGGCTTGTAGAAGCAGTGGGTCAACTATCTATTCATCTATCTATCACAAAATGATGATCCTCTACCCCATACAGCCATGCACACAAATTGAGAATTGAATGATTGTGGGGGCATAGACATTTTATGGCTGATGTTGGATGACATTATGACTGGATAGACAGCCCCTAATTCAATCATCGCATTCAGCTAATTAATATTGACTCTTCATTTAGACCCAATTATTACCTTACATAGATCTACAAATTTTTATTTAGAAGATAATACAACCATGGCATTTAGCTAATCTTGCTCTTCAGTTAGACCGAGTTATTACTTTACATAGATATACAAAATTTTATTTAGAAGATGATTTAGAGGTATTTTTTTTCAAGATAAGATAAAATACATATAATTGATTTTAACAAAATAATAATAATAATAATAATAATAATGGTGGCATAATTAAAATCTATGATCAAATAAATACCAAAGTGTGGATGAAATAACCCATAATGAGGGATAAATGGAAGATATTTTCCATAAAATTAAAGGATTCAACTACAGTGCATTTACTAGTATTGGTCGGAAGTTAAATCCAAATCTCAACAATCTGGTTAGAATTTACTTATTTTTCAGTTGTTCACCTTTTATCAAATGTACTTTTACATATAATAAAAAATACTTACCATCACATTCAATCAATCACATATTTTTCTTCAAAGTTCAGTGGAAACAAGATGGGATTGGGATGTAATTTTATAAGGCAGTCATAATACAATTATTTTCATACGAAATATTTCATATGATAGATGATCAAGAATCAAAAGCTTGTGGTGGCAATTGGGTTACAAATATGGTGGTCTAACCCACACCCACTAGTCATCCATTTGTCAAGATACATACATGGGTCTAACCCGACCTAACCGTTTTCATATTTTCTCTGCTTTACCACATCAACCACAAATATGAACTGTTATTAGAGAGACAAAGACGATTTACTAATGGGTCCACAAATGTTTATATTTTGACCCTTTATTCCCACTTGGCCCTTTCGGTAAACTTTTGCAGGGCAGTGGAGCAAGATGTAGGGTGGTGATTGTCTCATAGATGGTGATGAAGGGTGACTTGGCACGACTTAGTAAGAAGAGGTCATGTAGACGCGATATGCTCGAGGGATGGCAACTCAGTCAAAGGAACCTAGTCCGCAACAATTAGAGCTAGGGTATTCGGTCACCTCGGCCTAAAACCACCTCGGTATAAAGGCACCTCAACACCCAACTAGCTCAGGGCTAAAGAACCGAAGCGCCATATAATCGACTCCAGAAGCCTCACCAACGGACCCCAAATTTCTTAGGAACACGACAGGACTCATCCTCACTCCGCCCAAATCGGAGGAAAGCGATAAACTGTATCAACTGACACATTGCTCTCCTTAAAAAATGAAACATATCTTATCTACGCAACCCGGAGATCCCAGAGATTTTTCGTAAGATCCACGACTACTCCACTATATAAGGACATCAAACCCCAAGGCAAAGGTAAACGCGATTATTTACTCACTAGCACTGTAGCATTCAAGTATTCAGCTCACATCCATAATATAGTACTGACTTAAGCATCGGAGCGACCTCGCCGGGTTAGCCACCCCGGGTTCTCTGATCTATTATTTTGCAGCTTGGTCCAGCTCGCTATGCAACTAGTGTTCAGATCATCTTCCAGCTAGGAGTATCTAGATCGCGCACCATCAATTGGCATCGTGTGTGAGAAAAGATCAAAAGGTCATCCTAATTTCAGTTGCAATTCTATCTTTCGATTTATCTCAATGGATTCTTCCAGCAACATCGGGAAAAGCATCGAGATGAACGTCACTGGGGGGCAAGATCAACAATCGACCTTCCCCCAAGGTCCCACGATATGCATCGGCCAGTTTATTGTTCTTCTTACAGCTTCAGGGGTCCCGTCACTGCCCGTATTGTAGGGCACTACGCAAGTGGGCGTCCCGCTTCCCCCACTGGGCGTAACTTTCTCTGAGCCATCTGTGGTCCCCCCTAGAGTCGAACACTCCCAATTCCATGACCTCATTCAGTGCGTTAGGACAATACAGATCCAGATGCAGCAGGTCCAACAGTATCAGTAATACTACCTGTACCAGCAGTATCAGCAGCAGTTCCCACCACTACAGCCGAACCAGCAGCCAATTCCACCCCGACACCTAGGGTTGTGCCAGGGCCAAAACCAGAATCGGCCTGGAACTAGCCAAAATGTCCACTAATCCCCCCATTAGGGTGAGGAGACCTCGCAGGTGTTAGTTCTTCCCAGGGGTCAGGCTTCACCCCGTGGGAGGACAGACGGTCAACACACTCCTTCAGTCTCACAAGGAAATTTTAGAAATAAGCCCGAGGATAGTCAGCTCAACAGGATCAATCCGACACGGAACTCCCATTAGGAAAACAACGGATTGCGAGGAGATAACAACCAAGCCAGAGTTCAAGGTGCGAACTCGAGGCAGGACCCCTCGGTGCCTTGTGATAGCTGGTGTGAACTTCACAACCAGGAGAACCCGGCAAGAAGGAACCAGGATCCACCTCGCAACAATGTCCGTAATGATGCCGAGATACCAGATCAGACCGAGGTCAGCAGCACCAATGCTGAGCCAGTGAAGAAGCAGCAACAGCAACGCCGCAAGACACGTTGCTCCTCGGTCAAAAACAGTTCGCCAGCGAAGCCAAGCCAACAAGCAGAGCGAGCTAAAGAAAAGGAAGAAGTGAGCTCGGTGGCAACAAAGACTGCACCTCCCTAGCTGGAGCTGACGAATCCTGCATGTGTGTGGCCTTCTCCACTACGTTCTGGGGTGTAGTCCGAACCTGGTATCGGAACCTTGCACCGGGGTCCATCAAAAGTTGGGCACAGTTTTTCGATCTGTTTATTGTGCATTTCATTACCAGCAAAAAATGCCCAAAGTTGCAAGAAGCCTTCTGAACGTGGTTCAGAGGGAAGGAGAATCAATCAGAAGCTACATAAAGCGCTTCAACGATACCTGCCTGCAAATACCGAACATCGATCCAACGGTGTGACTCACTGCGGCAAAGAAAGGAATCACCCATAAAGAGTTCAAGTGGCACGTGATAGCCAACAAAGCAAAAGATATCACTGAGTTCCTTAAGTTGGCAGACCAGTTCATCGGTACCAAGGAGGAGATCAACCAAAAGATTGACAATCTACCGGCGGAAAAAAGGAAGAGAGAGAATGAAGGGACGAGCAATGGTGGGTAGAAAAGAAAGAAGAGCAAGTCCCCGATCAGGGGAAGAAGCAAGTCAAGGAGCCAGTCCCCTTCGCATAGGCACAAGTCAGGTCGGCGTTCCAAGACCCCGCCTATGGAGAGAACAAACTATACACCTTTGAATGCTAAGCGATGAGAGATCTTAATGGCTATTAAGGATTCCTCCTTCTTCAAATGGCCTCCCAAGTTAAGGGGAGACTCAGCAACAAGAAACCCGAATGTCTACTACCATTTCCACCGAGATCATGGACACAACACAGAGAATTGCAAGAATCTTCGCAATGAGATCGAGGAACTTATCCGTCGCGGGTACCTGAAGAATTACATACTACGAGAAGAGAGGGGACAAGTAGACCGACAGGGGGACTAGAGGAGGAATGCCCCTAAGACCAGCAGGTAGAATGAGCAGCCACCTCGACAGCTGCCAGAGGAAATGCCAATTTGCGGAGTGATCAATATGATCATCGGTGGGTCCATCATTGCCGGATGTACATCAGAAGCTAGGAGGACCTCGATCCGGGAATTGGAGAACAAAGGCGAAAACCCTCCAAAGTGACCTCGGCTCGAAGAACCGATCTACTTCACAGAGGATGATGCGCACGGGATCCAGTACCCGCACGATGATGCTTTAGTAGTGAAGCTAAGGATCAACGACTTCGAGGTGAAACACATCTTAGTAGACTTAGGCAGTTCATCAGACATACTCTTCAAGGTGACCTTCGACAAATTATAGTTATAGCAGAGCAACCTGAAACCGGAAGATACACCTTTGATAGTGTTTAGCGGCGAGGAGGGAGTCATAGCACTGGTGGTTTAGCGGCGAGGAGGGTTTAGCGGCAGATACACCTTTGATAGGGTTTAGCGGCAGATACAGTTATAGCAGGCCTCTTGGCTGAATCACAGCACTGGTGGAAGCCAGAATGTGGCCAAACATTGTACGATTTGAGCACACATTCTTGGTAGTGATGACTCCCTCCCCCTATAATGCGATAGTAGGTTGGCCTATCACGCACATTTTGTGTGTGATAGTGCCCACTTACTACTTAGTGATGAAGTTCCCAACTGACTACAGGGTGGGAGTCATGCAAGGTGACCAGCTCGAATCCCGCAAGTGCTACGTAGCCGCTTTGAAAGGAAAAGCAAAACTGGTAGAGAACGTTGAACTCGAGCAACCGACGGAGTATATCGATGAGTGAGCTGCCCCGAAAGAAGAAACGGTCCACATACTAGTCTTTGCCATCGAGCTAGCCAAAACTCTTCAAATCGGTGCCTCGATCAACGAACCACTTCGAACCCAACTAGTAAGTTTTTTTTACTTGAAAATTTAGATATTTTCAGTAGAGTGTCAGTCAGCCAAGTACGTCCTCATAGATGGACAACTGTATAGAAGATCCATCATGCTCCCTTACTTGCATTGTCTGCGACCCTTAGAAGCTGAGCACATACTTCGTGACACCCATGAAAGCTTGTTCGGTAGACACTTGGGGGGCAAAGCCCTCGCACAGAAAGTGTTAAGGCAAGGCTATTATTGGCTCACAATGAAGGCAGATTTACTTGAGCTCGTCAAAAAGTGTGACAAATGTCAAAGGCATGCCAATATCCACCACCAACCTGTAGCTGATTTGAAATACCTCACCAGCCCGTGGCCCTTCGCGCAGTGGGGAATTGACATCCTTGGTCCTTTCCCACCAGTAACAGGGTAGATGAGGTTCTTAGTTGTAGCAGTAGATTATTTTATGAGTGAGTGGAAGCTGAACCCCTGGTAACAATTACAGCCCGTAACATACAGAATTTATTTTAAAAAAGCATAGTATGCTGCTTCGGACTACTCCGGACCTCGAAATGCCACATAATCGACTCCAAAAGTCTCCCCAACGGACCCCGAATTTCTCGGGATCACGACAGGACTTATCCTCACTCTGCCTGAATCGGAGGAAAGCGATAAACCTTATCAAGTGACACATTGCTCTCCTTCAAAAACAGAACATATCTTATCTACGCAGCTCGGAGATCCCGGAGCTTTTTCGTAAGATCCACAACTACTCCACTATATAAGGACATCGAACCCCATGGCAAAGGTACACGTGATTATTTGCTCACTAGCACTCTAGCATTCAAGTATTCAGCTCACATCCATAATATAGTACAGATTTAAGCATCAGAGCGACCTCGCTGGGTTAGCCACCCCGAGTTCTCTGTTCTATTATTTTGTAGCTTGGTCCAACTTGCCACGCAATTAGTGTTCATATCATCTTCCAGCTAGGAGTGTCCAGATCACGCACCATCATGTGGGAATTGGGAAGCACTTTAAAGGACCTGCCATCATTGATTTGAACTGTTAAATTGATCTTATGATTCCAGTAATAGGTCCCAACACTTTTTACCCTCACTATTGGGAGGTGGGTCTTTCATTCATTTGGCAAGATCCATATGAGTGGTTAGATGCCAAAAATTTTGGTATCATTTAAGGGCAGCACAAAGTAAGATAGTAGTGTTTTGTGCAGATCAATGGATTAGAAAAAGTTCAAGTTTATTATAATGGGATTAAAGAATTTTTGTATAAATCGTAGATAAACTTCTTTTAACTGTCCATGACTAGGCGAAGGAGAAAGGGAATTAGAAACAGTAAGCAGTAGAAAGTAAAATCTGACACCATCACAATACACCTTCACACTCCCTGCATATTAATATTAAGAAGGGAAAATTCTCGATCATTATCCTGTACTTTGGCATGAGTGACAATTTGGTCTCCAAAATTTAAAATGTGATAATCCAGTATCCAAACTTTCAAAATGTGACAATTTAGTACCTGTCGTTAAATAGTCCATTAATCAACCATTAAGTGACATTTGAAAAGTAAAAAATGCCATCTAATTCTCTTTATCAACCATCTAAATATTGACAAAAAAACTGAACAGTCCCAAGTCCTAGCCTCTTCTATTAAAAAAGTTGATGATTGTTTACAAGAATCTAGAATTTGGGATTGTTCGTTTTATTGTCAATGTTTGGATAATTGATAAAGAGAATTAGATGACATTCTTAGGGCATTTTTTACTTTTCAAATGTCACTTAACAATTGATTAACGGATTGGTTAACGACAGGTACTGTATTGTCACTTTTTGAAAATTTAGGAACCAAATTGTCGCTCGAGCCAAAATACAAGGTACTGATCAGGAATTTTCCCTATTAAGAACAAATTACGGAAAAAGAATGATAAAATAAAACACTCTCCTCTCTCTATAGTTGCTGGAACCCATCACCACTCTCCAAAGCGCAAGGCACATGATGGTTCCAAACTGACAATACATTCTCTCTCTAAAGTTGCAATCTGATTTTCAAGCAGCGTGGAGAGTAAGACAACCAAAGGTGAGTGTTTTGGAAAGCTGAAACATAGCCAATGATGTATTCAACCCAATGAGTACCTTTAATCAACCCAATCGAACCCATTTTATTTGACCGAATGGGTGTCTCAACCCATATTCAACCTGCAATACAGATGGGATGGGTTTGGATGGACGGGCTGAGAGGGTCAAGTGGGTTGGATCAGAAATTACCACCCCTATTAAGAGTATAAATAAACAAGGGGAAGACCAAAGAAAACTGCCTGGAAAAAAATGGTCCAAAAAAGACTTACAATATGATAGAAAACAGAGAAATTTATAGAACAAAATAGTGAAACAGAATTCATTTAGCATACCCTAAGTAGTTGAAGTGCATTTCTTAAAAAACAACTTTAAGGGACCACAAGCTTAACTTTTCATCATTTGATTTGAAGAAGAAACTAAAATGGAAAGCCACTTAAATGGTTGTATGATGACAAATTTTGGTTCTTCATATCAATGTTTTCAAAATTGGATCCGACTAGATGATTGCACTGAAAAAATCGGGAACCGGTGATCTCCATTTCACCCTAGAACCGTTTTGTAGCCAAAAATCGTTGATTTGGTCAGTAAACTGTTGATCCAGGTGGTTGAACCGTTTGAACCGTCAATTCGGACAGCAGTTTTTTGGCTTTTTTTATTTTTTTCATTTTTTGTCGGATGAGCCATCTGTTCGGTTTGGACGATCAAACCATTCGATTCAGGAACCAGACCCCTGAACAGTTCATTGTTCGGTTCGGTTTTAAAAACCTTGCTTCATATTCCTTTTAATTAAGCTTTTCAATTGGCTCCACCTTACAAAGTCAAAAGCAATTGCATGAAAGCCTCCCAAAACTGACACTTGGGTTCAGTTTGGAAAGAGCACAAATACTGCAAAATCTTGTATTTTATATATCTTTGTATTGTACATATTTGTATTTGTAAGCTGGTCGTAGCGGAAACTTGGGATGTGTGTATATATATAACTTGTCTGAAGTTGTTCGGTCAATACACTACAATCAATGAAAAAGCCCTCCAAACAGACCCTAAGGCTGTGTTTGATATTGATTAATAACCAAGAGGTCCTATAACAATTGGCATCATGGCATGTCTCACACATAAGATTGGATTGAAATCATTGGATAACAAGCATTTTCTCAATAGGTGGCTAAAACTAAATCAAATAAATGGATAAAGAGATGGGCGACAGGGCGAGTAACAAGACTACGAAGAGAGAGAGAGAGAGAGGAGGGGCTAGCTTAATAATGGATTACAAAAACATTATACTCAACAACCGCATCTCCAGTCTTGAGATCTATTCTGTGGGTCTTGGCATGAGCATAGCCTCGAGCAAACCTGAAAAGCCCAGTTCCTCCGACCACCGGCATCTCTCTTACCGTGGAGAATACAGTATTCCTCCCCAGTATGCTAAGCGTGCTCCCGTTGTACTTCCCTTCCATGAATGCATAGTTCAAGACCATCAACAAACCCAGCTCTTCTTTCGATGTGGAGGCATAGATCCCTTCAGCCCTTCCAACCAGCTTCGAGGTCACCTCTGGAGTTTCAGTTAATGGGTCATCTATCACGAACACTGCACCAAAACCTGTGGCTAATGATGATTTGTATGCCGGTGGCTTTACAATTTGGATGGCAGTCGGATTCCGGCCACTAAGAATGTCATGAAAGTAAAAGTGAAGGTGGGTTATTTTCTCTCGCTTAAGCCCCATAGACTCTGTTTCTGTGGTTTCAGAGAAACGATAAGATTTACTACTTRCAGCAACATTGGAGAAGAGGAAGAAGAAAAAGAAGGAACTTGGAAAAATGGCAGCTGAATAGCTGGATTTGGAAAGAGTGCTGGCCATGGAAACAATATGGATGTAAATCCTTGGGAAGAGATTGATCRAATGATAAATTGRCTTGAAAGGCTTATCTCCTATAGTCCTATATATAAGTGAAGAAGTATATATTCTGTATTGTAGTCAGTGACTCGGTGCATTCTAAAGTAGTTTTGTCATCATTTTAAAGACTCTGTAACTGCATATTTTATACAATAGACATGATTAGTAGTCCAAGGTTTTAAGACCGTTGTTGATGCAGATGGACGGTCAGACCGTCTGGCCTAAAAACCGGGTAGGGTATTAGTTTAATTTCAATGCCAAAACTGTTTAATTTCCCCAAAAACTATTGAATTGATCAATGACCTGGTGACCCGATTGGTTGAACCATCAATCCATTCAACTTGGATAATGATTTTCAGGGTTTTTTTTATTTTTTAAAATGTCATGAGTTTATTTATTTAGACCAAACGGTTAAACCGCTAGCTGACTTGAAATCCGATGGACGAAGCAGTTCCGGTTCCGGATCAGGTTTTTTAACATTGCAAAGGAGCTATCACATGGAACAAAAGTCTTGAAGTATCACTTATGCGTCAAGCCACCGGGAAAGCACTGTTTATATAATTTTGATATCTAGCCCATAGAATCCAGGCATGATTACTTTCCTCCATGTGAAGCAAAGTTAACTTCCTACTCCTTTTGGTCATAGCTCTTTAGCGATATATTATTTTCAATTTTTCATTGTAAATATAGCGTGACTAATATAATCATAACAAAAATAAATTAGTGTACAAGATAAGAAAGAGAAGAAGAAAGGATGAAAGGGAAGAACCCTTTTATCATTAATTCTAATTTCTAAGTTTTCATGCCGTCTGCCGTCCACTGCACTAAGTTGGCAAAACCAAATTAAATTGCAATTAGGGGGATAATGGTTACCCACTATTAGGACTGGTGCATTTACAACCTTTGCAAATCTACATTATTATCAAGTTACAAAGTATTTGATAAATTGCATTTTATAAGCTTATAAGAATGGGAATGGGGCGGGTTCAGGGTGGGGATTATATTTTCATTCCCAAACCGGATTTTGAATTGAATTCTCATTCTTAACTCCAATTTCTGTCGGGGATAAAATTTATCCTCCATCCCCATTCCCTAGCAGAGATGGATTCCCTATAGGGACCCGGATCTCCAAAATTTTAAAATTAACAGTATTTTTTGAAAATTAAATTAAATTAAAATAAAGAAAACTTTTCAAATATAAATAATATTTTAAATACATTGAAATATATAATAATATATATATAATTGAGGTCGGGGTGGGGTGGGGACTTCATTCCCCATCTCCATCCCTGACCCCAATCAAGGATTCCTATTAATCTCCATCCCGGCCCCATTGGGTTGGGGAGGTCAGGTACTTGACGGGATGGGAAAAATTTCCATCCCTAGATATGTATAGTGAAATATGCTTTGCTTGTGCAACTTGGGTGGGCCTACACACACACACACACACACTCACACACACACACATACACACACACTAGTAAGCATGCATGTGCTTTGCGTGTGGCAATTCTAGATGATGATAATGATAGTAATAATATATTCAAATTTTTCTATAAATTGTATGTATTTTTATTTTTTATTATTAATCAAATGCATATTGCAAAATTTAATTACATAAACACCCCATCCAAATATGTGGTAATCTTATCAAATTGTGAAGTTTCAAGTATCATTAACAGGCATACCTGCTTTGCTAGACTTTTCTTTTTGTAGTATTTTTTCTTTTGGGTGTATCTTTTTTCTTTTGCTCATTTATCAAAAAATTGTAAGATTTAAACTGAGGGAATTGAATGAGGTGAAAAGTAGTAGTTCAATTTACAATTTAAACCTTATAATTAAATATGGATACTTTAATAAAAAAAAAGTTCCACAATTGTATTCATATTTTTAATAGTAGTGTAAATATAGAATTATAGGTGTGTTCAACTTTCTACATTTTTTTTGTATAAAAATAATTCTAATATATTACACTTACTTTTTATTTAATACGATAAATATATGATATTATACACGTGCTTAAATGTTTTTTTTTGCAAAATTTATGTATTTATACATTTATATATTTTATTAATTTTATTATTTATTTATGGCATTAAAGATCAATACGTTTACTTATTTACTCATTATCAATAAAAATAATTCTTGTTTATTATACTTATTTTTTAATTTAATTAATGAAAATATCATAAATGTGTATAGTTTTTTGTGATTTTCTATATTTATTTATATTTTAAAAGAAATTTACTACCTAACTATGACTTTGTAAGTTGATCTATTTGATTCAGTTTTTGAGTTGCTTAGCCACCGCTTGGATAAAAAATGATTTTGTTTTTTAGTCAATTTTAAAATATATGGGTTTATATTGTTAAAAATATTGAATAGATCTAATTAGTAGCATTTATTAGTAAAAAAATAACTTAAAAATAAAGGATTTAATAAGAGAAAATAGGATTTAATAACTTAAATAATACTTGAAGTTACATTTTCAACCCTTACAATTAGAAATGGATTAAATCCAAAAGTATAGGCATTTTAGTAGACATTAAAGATAGCATTAAAGCTATAATAAAATGACTTTTATACCCTTTCTCAAACATAGAAGTAAGGGTTCATTTGGTTGCCGAGAAAGGATGGGACAAAAAGAGATGGGATGAAAAAGGATGGGACGAGAAGAGATGGGGTGAGAAAGGACGGGATGGGAAGGGAAAATTTATTTTCTCATTCCTATCACACTATGTTTGGTTGTTGAGACCAGTTATCCCATCAAATTTGTTCCTAGTGTTTGGTTGTTAAGACCAGTTATCTCACCTAAATCCAGAAATTATTTGCCGTTTGCATAACTTGCTTTGATTCATGAGGTTTCAAATTCCTCCTTTTGCTCCTCGCAATTGACAAAAAGGTGCAACCTAGATAAGTTTGATGGAGAAATAACAATAATGCCTCTATTTGAGAAAGAACAAATTGATTTCTTTCTGGGAAAGAACAAAATCAAACCCAGATAAGTTTAATAAAGAAATAACAATAATGCCTTGCATAAATTTTAAGAAGAAATGGCAATCTCAACAAGTTCACTTCTTTCTGGTAATCTAAAAATCCTCAAAGAGAACAGTCTATACCTATGAATTTACTAGATTGTTAAATCTAAAAAAATGAAAACCTACTTAAAACTTATTTTTGTAGTTAACCCAAAAAACTGAAACTAGTGGCATCTCGGTTCCATTCAACCGGAACCAGCAATTAGAAGCTACTCTGTTTACTCAAAAACCTTGTAGTCTCTACTAGAAACAAAAGACTCGCTGGAGTCGGTTTCTCATTGAAAAAATGAAGACAAAAATACCTTTCTATGATGGAATGGTTAGGGCAAGTATCATTCTAGAATGGAACTTGCTTCCATCGAAATCTATTTTGCTAGAAAATCCTGAAAGATGATGATCTGATTACTTACCATTTGGAGATTTGAAGCTCAACTAGAGAGAGAGAGAGAGAGAGAGAGAATGAATGGAACGGGAAAGAAAGTTCACGACGGTAGAGACAATAATAACAAGAGGGAGAACGAGGAATACTACGGACCGAAGGAGTTCCAAAGGGAGGCGACCACACTGACCAAGCTATTGGCGTAAAGGGAGAATGAGATTGTAAGTACGAAATCAACAAGTGGATCAAAGGATCCGAAGCGGTGGTGGAGACGAAACTGGCAAATGAGTTCTCAGTGCAAAGGCTCTTGAAAACGGTTGGAAGAACAACAGTAAGCGAGTGCAGAGAGAGGGAGTGCGATCTCAGTGAAGGTGGCGAAACCTTGCCTTCACCAAAGAAGTTATAACCGTTGTAGGGGTGTAGTGCTCGGTTAGGAGACCAATTCTCATGCTCTCGATGTTTCTTTCTCACTCTCATCGCAGAGGTTTCGTTTCTCACTGGGGTCGCACCTATTGGGTGAGACCCCGCATCCCAAATTTTGAGAAGAGATTTCTCGTCCCATCTCACTCTTTTGCCCAAAACAAACATGAGAAAATAGGAATCTTGGGCATATATTCCTATTTTCTCATCCCAATCACACAAACCAAACAGACTGTAAAGGGTTTGAATGTGGCAATTCTAGATGATGATAATTATAATAATAATGTATCCAAAATTTTCTATAAACTTTACGTATTTTTTATATTTTTGTTGTTACTTTTTTTGTTTTTTATTATTAATCAAATGCATATTGCAAAATTCATATCTGATTACATTAACACCTCATCCAAATATGTGATAATCAGATCAAATTGTGAAGTTTCAAGTATCATTGACAGGCTTACCTACTTGGCTAAACTCTTCTTTTTATAGTGTTTTATCTTTTATCTTTTGTTCATTTTATCAAAAAAATGTAAGATTTAAATAGAGCAAGTTAAATGAGGTGAAAAGTAGTAGTTCAATTTACAATTTAAACCTTACAATTAAATAGGGACTAAATTAAAAAAAAAGAGTATTTTAGTCACATTTTTAAAAACCAGACCAGATCGGATGATCAAATAGTTTGGACTGGGAACCGGTCAAGTCACCAATTCCATTTTGGCCCTAAACCGCTATTTTACAAAAAAAAATGTTGGAATGATCAAAGAACTATTGACTCGAACGGTTTAACCATTAAAATGTTTGACCCGATTAATGTTCTTGGTTTTTTTTCAAACTATTTCCAAATTTTTTATTTTTTTAAATAAAAATGAAAAAAATAAACTTTCATATCTTATAAACTTGTTTGATTATTCCCGATAGCCAAAATTAGTTTTTTTTTAGTTTTTCCATTTTGATTTTAAGTTTTCTCATTTCTGTGATTCTTTTTAAGTTGTAACAACAAAAAAAAATTGCAACTCCAATAAAAATTTGAAAAATCGATGCAAGAGATTGGAGATTAAACACCGATCCTATATTAAAATCTAAGATACACTAATGAAACAAACGATCTAGGAGCTGAGAGAGATTTAGACAGATGAAAGAGATGTAAGAAGAGGGGAAAATGGTATTGTAATGGTGGTGGTGATGAACATGGAGATAGTCATCACAGTTCTTTCTTTCTTTCTTTCTTCTTCTTCTTCTTCCTTACTTTTCAATCTTATATTAAAATCTAAGATACACTAATGAAACAAACGATCTGGGAGCTGAGAGAGATTTATACAGATGAAAGAGATGTAAGAAGAAGGGCAAATGGTATTGTAATGGTGGTGGTGATGAACATGGAGATAGTCGTCACAGTTCTTTCTTTCTTTCTTTCCTTCTTTCTTTCTTTCTTTCTTTCTTTCTTTCCTTCTTTCTTTCATTCATTCATTCATTCTTTCTTTCTTTCTTTCTTAAACACCGATCTTATATTAAAATCTAAGATACACTAATGAAACAAACGATCTAGGAGCTGAGAGAGATTTAGACATATGAAAGAGATGTAAGAAGAGGGGTAAATGGTATTGTAATGGTGGTGGTGATGAACATGGAGGTAGTCGTCACAGTTCTTTCTTTCTTTCTTTCTTTCTTTCTTTCATTCATTCATTCATTCATTCTTTCTTTCTTCTTCTTCTTCTTCTTCTTCTTCTTCTTCCATACTTTTCAACTTTAACGGTCAAAATAAAAAGTTGCATTATATTTTACATCTTATCAGTTTGACTTGCTCAAACTAGATAATTGAACCATTGACCAAAAAATCAAAAGCCAAAGCGGTTCCATTTCTGGATCGGTTGTTAAAACCTTGATTTTAGTCAAAAAAAGTTCCACAATGTTATTCATATTTTTAATAGTAGTGTAAATATAGAATTATAGATGTGTTCAATTTTTTCTATAATTTTTTTTTGTATTTTTTTGTGTAAAAATAATTCTGATTTATTATACTTACATTTTGTTTAATATGATAAATACATGATATTATACATGTGCCTAAATCTTTTTTTGCAAAATTTATATTTTTTGTTTTTGTTTTTATATTTATTAAATTTTATAATTTATTTATGACATTAAAGGTTAACACATTTAACCCAAAAGTTGAACTATTTTTTATTATTTTTTATATTTCATTTTTGGTTAGTTATAAATTATGCATTTCATTTTCATTATCAATAAAAATAATTCTTGTTTATTACACTTATTTTTTAATTTGATTAATAAAAATATCATAACTGTGACTAATTTTTTCTACATTTATTGTAAATTTCTATATTTATTTCCATTTTAAAAATTTTATTGCCTAACTATGACTTCATAGGTTGATCAATTTAATTTGGATGGTTGAATTGGTTAGACACCACTTGGATAAAGAATCATTTTTTTTTTTAGTCAATTTTAAAATATATGGGTTTGTATTGTTAAAAATATTGATATAGATCTAATTATTAACATTTATTAGTGAAAAGTAACTTAAAAATATATGATTAATAAGAAAAAATGTGATTTAATACCTTAAGTATAAGACTTAATGAGAGGGGATTAAATGGTGTGGAAAGTAATAATTGAAATTATACTTTCAACCCTTACAATAATTAGAGATGGATTAAATACACAAACATGGTCATTATAGTAGCCATTAAAGTTGCCATTAAAACTATAACAAAATGACTTTTATATCCTATCCCAAACAAATAAATAGAGGGTATTTTTAGTCCAAAAAAAGTTTCACATTGCATTCACACACACACACACACACACACACACACACACACACACACACACACACACACACATATATATATATATATAAAGAAAATACCAGAGATCTCGACTTGTTGAAGGTAAACTGGAAACAATAACCGGTAAAAACAAGGAAAGGTCTAGAATAGGTAGGGGTGGGCATTATTTGGGTAAAGCTGAAAGAAAAGAAAAAAAAAACCTGAACCAACAATTTTTTGTTTCGGCTTTTTTATTTCGGTTTTTGATGTTTTGGTTAATTTGGTTTTTGAAAATTTTAGTTTTAGTTTCGATTTTTAGAATTAGAAATTTGATTAACTAAACTTTTCTATACAATATATAATATAATGTATAATGTATAACATATAATATATTTATATATAATATAATGAAGTTTGATTTCATAATCTCCTAGAAGTGCCAATGCCTGGACATGTTGCAAATGAGTTTAAAAAACAAGAATAACAATTACAATAAACAAATGTGCGCTTTTAAAAAAGTTTTAGCATGCAAAAATAAATGTTGGCTTACATGATCACAATCATTCTTGATACCATAGTTGACAATGAGAATTTTAAATAATGTGCCTACAATGACATGGCTAGCATTGCTTTGGAAGTACTTATTAATTTGTGTGAGTCCAAAATCAACATCCCATAACCGGATCCTACCCTACAATAGCTAGATTTTGAATATTGATTTTGGATTGGAAAAGTCCTAACCAATAAAAGCAGATCCCAGCCAAAAGGAAAAAGAAATGCCAAACATGCTCTAGGACTAGCTTTCCCATGTTCCTTATTCTTGAATTTAGGGTTGTGGGTCAAGTTTATCCAACAAACCCAAACATATCAAACTAATTATCACTGTTTTGGTTCCATAACTTTCAATTATATTATCAAAATTTTAATTTTAATTTACTTTTTAAATAAAAACATGTAATTTTCAATATGGTTGGTTGGGTTATTAACATTAGTTAGCATTTAAACTTAAATTTAAGTTATCCAAGATAATTTTGGGTCTATGATTTTGTCCCAATTAATAACCGATTTGAGATGGGTTCTACCAATAACCGACCCAAACCCTACTTGCTAGTCACGTTAAAAGTGTTTTGACTTGTTATTATAATATATTTATAATGACAACCGTATAAAATTTGAAAAAATGTTCCACTTGTGTCACGACACTTATCAAATGTGGTGTTTGGTTATGTGGCCATTAATTTGAAAAATGACACCAGCTCATCACTACATAAGTGTTTATTCCAAAATACTATTAATTGGTAAGACATTTATTAGATAAGTGTTTATCTCGATTTGATTGAGAGTCAACCATCGGGAGAAATACTATTTTTAATATTTTCCCAACATCCAACCGATTATTTACTATTCAGCTTATGTGGCACCTATGACATTTAATAGTAATAGCTGTCAAACAACTAAAATAAACATTCATTCTTGTTTTTCAAGATAAATCCCATAGAACGTTTTCTTCAATAAATGACAATAACACCAAATAAACTCAAAATTGACAATTCAAGAAACCTCTCCTTTTTTTAATCCAAAACTAATTATATATATATATATATATATATATATATATATATAAATAGAAGAGATAAAAAGTGACTGAGAGAGAGGCCAGAAGGGGGGATTAATAGTGGATCACAAAAACATTATATTCAACAATGGCGTGACCAGCTTTAGGGTCCAAGGAGTGTGTTTTGGCCTGAGCATAGCCTCGGGCGAACCTGAAAACCCCACTCCCTCCGACCACAGACATCTCTCGGAGGCCGGAGAAAATAGGATTTCTCCCAAGAATACTCAGCGTACTTCCGTTGTGCTTCCCCTCCATGAACACAAAGTCCAGGGCCATCAAGTAGCTTGCTTCACTTTGCGAAGAAGAGGCATAGATTCCTTGAGATCGTCCAACGAGCTTCGAAGTCAAATCTGGAGTTTCAGTCAATGGAATATCCATCATCCTCACCGTGCCGAATTTTGTGGTCATTATGTCCGTCGGATCTGCCCCCGCTACGATTTCGGAAGTTGGGTTGCTGCCACCAACTATCTCGTGGAAGTAGAAGTGAAAGTGAGTGATCTTCTCTTGCTTTAGCCCCATTTCTTGTGGTAACAGAATTCGAGAAAAACGAAAGTTATGAGACGCCCCATTTACACCAGCACTGGAAGAGGAGAAGAAGAAGAAAGTTATGAAAATTATCTGAGAAGAGATGGATTTAGAGAGAATTCTGGCCATGGGACAGAATAGAAGTAGATTCTTCGATGGCTTTCTCCCAAAATTTGATGGATCGGCGAATTGGGTTCCGCACGGTGGTCATCTATATACAAGAAAAAATAAATTAATTGGATTAATTTATCCACCAGCTGAAGCCTGAACCTGAAGGCTGAATATAAGTTTTTCGCTTTTTTTAATCCAAAGTCATTCCTTCTACATTGTGAGGAGCAGATCCCGTTCCGCCATTTGGACTTGATTTTTTAAAGAGTGGTTATGGAAATTAATAATTACTATAATTAAAATGGAATTTTCTATCATAACTTTCACAAGATTTTTTTTTTATTTAATTTTTCGTGGATCCTCAAACCCATTGAGTCATTGACCCTTTCCCCTGGGGAGACGGCGCCGAGGCGGGATTCAATCCCAAGTTTTCTCTACAACCGGTCGAAATAAGTAAAGAACGTAGTCCTTACGACCGAGTTTTTTTTCAGTCCTCACCAATTGAGTTGGTGCCTTACAACCTCCACAAGATATGTCGTAACAGAACATTCTTTATATTCTTTACACAACTATTCGAGGTTTTGTTGCATTTCACCATAAGTCTATACCAATTAATCTGAGGGTCCGTTTGGTTTGTGATTAAAATCGGAATCGGAATTGGAATGAGAATTCCTTGAAATCGGAATTGGAATAATTTATTCCCCTACCTGTTTGGTTCAAATAGGAATTGGAATCGGATTCCGACTGATACTGTTTGGTTCATCAAGAAGCCGGAATCGCAATCAGCCATGATTTTTAAATTTGCCCCTAATAAAAATAAAAAAGCAAAAAATGCATGAAAATACCAAAAAATACAAAAATTTTACAAGAAATGTATAAATTAGAATAATTTTGTAGCAAATTCAAAAAAATGCATGAAAAAATTGTAGCAAATTCAGAAATTTTGCTTGTAGCTATCCACCGCTTCTTCAAACGTCTCCTCTGTCTCATTGTTAATCCACCCATACTCGCTCATGAACTAGGGTTTTTGGAGGGTAATTAACAATAAAATCCTTCCACACGTTATCACCCTCCAAATCCCCAACAACCTCTAGTAGGCAGTTGTTGCACTTCAAACCTCCCCCGAAGCTGATCATCATCACCCTGTCACCTCTTCTCAACCTCTTCTTGGCCTCCTTGCTGGCTCCAAATTGTACTTCGTCAGCCCCAAACTCTTTCCCACCCGTCAATAACCGCCTTTCCGCTGGTGTGAAGGCAAAAATGGCCGATCCTAGTCTTGAAATTCACTCCTGCTTTGACACCGCCGCTCTTGCTGGCGGACGCACTATCCTTCTTGGGTCGAGGAAGGAGGTGTGTTACTATAACATATCGAAGCAGTTCCCTTAGCAGTAACACCTTTGGTGCTAATACTCTGAGGTTCTCGACGAAGGCACAAGTGGCAGATTTGGGGAGGTTCTTGCCAAGGTGAAACCCTGGTCTACCCGCAACGTCTTCCTTCTGAATTGCACATCCACAAAAAAAAAAGGAAACTAATAGTGCACATTCCGAGGGAAGGGGTCGGGAATGGCCATTCCCCCATATTCTACCTATTCATTCCCATTCTGGTTGACCCCATTATGATTCCGATTCCAGGGTCCTATTCTCTCGAACCAAATAGACCCTAATACATAAATTGTCCTTGAGAGATCAGGACATTGCTGGCTGCCTTGTTGGTAAAGCCTTTTTAGTTGGTTGTAGTGGAGGCCCGAGATAAAGTCTTTTCTTCACCAGGGGTGGGGGTCTACAGGTTTAGGGAAGGGCTACCTATTGTATAATTAAAAAAAATTGTGAAATAATTTTATATTGTTCAATTCAAAACATAAGGCAATGCAATGCCACATCTCTACCCACGAGACATTACAGCTATGCATTGGGAATGTCTTCCTTATCATTCATGGATAGATGTTCCCAATACAATGTGGTGGTGTTTTGTGGGTAGGGACATAGGAACAACTTGTGGGTAGTAGATCCCAAGTGGTGGTTTCAGGGGTGAGCATGGGTTAGTTTGGTTCGGTTCGGTTCTGTAACCTACCTTGTAGGGGTTCATGGTTTTTGGAACTAGAATCTACCTTATGAAGGTTTTAATGGTGGTGAGCTTCAGGGTCGGTTCTAGGGTTTACCTATGGAACTTGTTCTTTCTTTACTCTCCCCTAAAAAAAATGAAACATGTTCTTTAAAAACTTGATTTTCAATAAATATAATATATGGTTTAAAACTTATGTTATATTTATTAATTAAATTGATTAATTTAATATGTAGATTATCATAATATATTAATGTATGGTTCAAAGCATTATTATAATTCAAATTTTGTAAATATTACTTTTACATTACTTATTATACGCATTCAAATATTAAAATGAAAACAATTGATGAAATCATATAAGTAATTCAATGGTCAAGCGAGACCATGACCTTTGTAACCTTGAGTGTTTGGGTTCAAATACTCACATACTCAAAAGTATTTGCGGGTTTGTTCCAAGTATAACTTACCCATTGGCTTACCCCTATATATATGTGTGTGTGTGTGTTTAGAATTTTCTACATTGCCTTTATATTTCCTTGTGTAAAAATAATTCTAATTTATAACACTTATTTTTGTTTATGATGAATATACAATATTTATCCAAATGTTTATTTTTATGTATATGTATCTTTTTATATATTTTGTATTTTTATTTATTTAATTTTATTATTTAATTATGACAAAAAAGATTGACACATTTGACTCAAAAGTTGATTATTGACTTACCCAAATGATTGAATTGCTTACTCATCACTTAGATAAAAGAATGGTTTCATTTTGATGTCAATTTAAAAAAAAACACAAATTTTATATTGTTAAAATATTGGATATAGATCTCATTAGTATAATTTATTAATTAAAAATTATCTTATATATAGGATTTGATAAAAGAGAATGATAATTGATACTTAATACCTCAGACATAGGGTCTAAAACTCCCCTTTAAACATTTCCCATGCTCTCTTAAACTTAGCCTTACTTTTTAAAACTTCCAAAGACCCCATCAGAAATTTATCACCACGAGATGAAGGGTTTTTACAAGTTTACTATCTTACCCCTCCATTTGAGTTTACCATGAACCAAAATTGTGGGGACGCGTGATGTCATCACATCGACTGCCGGTTCCTATTGCTGAGTATCAGCACCTGCGCGCTGCGCCTCCAACAACTGAACAAAGACACTCGATCGAAATCGAACAAAGCAGAATAGCCTCTCCGCTTCTGGCCTTTCACTTCATGGTATCCGCAACAAATCAATCTCTGCACCAGCAAAATGAGGATTTGCAGATCTTTCCCTTTACGAACTTTCATCCAACAATACACTCTCAAGAATATATGTGCCATAAATCAAGGTCTGTCCCCTGCATTTCTATGTTCAACCTCTATTTCTGATACTTCACTAGAAAGGACCTACCAACCTTCGATCACCCTCGAAGACAACGAAAAGGACACTGTAGAACTCGTAAAGAAAGCAGCCTCAGATTCTCAGTGGCATTTGATCGAACAAGTTTCCTCAAAACTCACTCCATCCTTGATTTATAATATCCTCTTTAACCTCCGAGGATCGCCAGATGCTGTTCTAGCGTTCATAGAAAAATTGGGTATTAATCGCCTCGATCTCCAATGCGTTTGCCTCGCTGTAGGTATAAGCTCTCGCAATCCATCTTCACAACCCGCTCTGCAGCTCATGAAGCGAGCCGTTGATGGTGGCATTGCGACACACTGGGAGATCTTTGATGAGTTATTGCTCGTTCACGAGCGGTTGAACTTATCAAGTTCAGTTGTTTTTGATTTGCTGATGAGGGCTTTTTCTGGATTGAAGAGACCGGGCGAGGCTTTTGAGTGTTTTTACATGATGAAGGATCGGGGGATTCTTCCGAAGATTGAAACTTGCAATGATCTACTGAGTTTGCTTTTAAAACTGAATCAAAATGAGACGGCTTGGGTTTTGTATGCTGAAATGTTCAGGTTGAGGATTCATTCGACTGTTGTCACGTTCAACATAATGATTAATGTGTTGTGTAAAGAAGGGAAGTTGAAGAAAGCGAAGGCTTTTATGGGAAACATGGAGGGATTGGGCTTTAAACCTAATGCAGTGACTTACAACACGATCATCAATGGGTATATTTCAAGAGGAAAACTCGAAGGCGCCTATGAAGTCTTTGAGGCCATGAAACGGAAAGGCATCAATCCAGATTCTTACACATATAGCTCGCTGATATGTGGGTTGTGCAAGGAAGGACGACTCGATGAAGCATCAGAACTGTTTGGAAAAATGACTGAGAAAAAGTTGGTTCCTACTGCTATTACTTACAACACGTTGATTGATGGATACTGCAATAAGGGGAATTTGGTTATGGCCTTCAAGTATAGGGATGAGATGGTCAACAAAGGCATAGAGCCAATAGTCTCCACGTTCAATATGCTCATTCATGCATTGTTTATGGATGGTAGGACAGCAGAAGCAGATGCTTTGATCAAGGAAATGGTGGCAAAGGACATAGCTCCTGATTCTATAACTTATCATATATTGATCAATGGGTACTGTAGGGAAGGGAATGTGAAGAAGGCCTTTGACCTCCATGCGGAGATGTTGAGTAAAGGTATCCATCCTACATCTAAGACTTACACATCCCTTATCTATGTGCTGAGCAGGCACCGTAGAATGACCGATGCAGATAAGTTATTTGAGCATGCAGTGGGCAAAGGGTTGTCCCCTGATAACATAATGTTCAATGCCTTGATTGATGGCCACTGTGTGAATGGGAATATGGAGCGTGCTTTTATGCTTTTAAAGGAGATGGATAGGAAAAAGGTTCCGCCCGATGAGGTGACATACAATACATTGATGCAAGGGTTCTGTAGGGAGGGAAAAGTTGATGAAGCTCGTGGGCTTCTTGATGAAATGAAGAAAAGGGGGATCAAACCTGATCATATCAGTTATAATACACTCATTAGTGGGTACAGTAGAAAAGGTGATATGAAGGATGCTTTTAAAGTTCGCGATGAGATGTTGAGTAAAGGTTTCAATCCCACCCTTCTCACTTATAATGCTCTTATTCAAGGGCTATGCAAAAACAAGGAGGGAGATCATGCTGAAGAGCTGCTCAAGGAAATGATAAGTAGAGGCATTACTCCAGATGATAGCACTTACTTTTCTTTGATTGAGGGGCTTGGTGAATGTAAAAACTTGGATGAGAGTAATTGCACATAGTCGATTGACAACCAGAAAGGTTTCAACAAACAAGGTCAGAAAATTGTGTTTATCTTCATTGTCCTCCTGTGCCAGGACAAATAATAGGATAAGTTTCTTCAATTATTTCTGATAATAAATATAAATATTCAAGTAGGTAAAGTCTTTTCAGTGTTGATATTAATGAATCCATGCAGACCCCCCTTTCCAAATGAAACCAGATCTATAGGTCTAATCATGCATGTTTTTCTAGCCTAATATTTTTCAGATGTCCAGGAGTTGTTTTTCTTTCTTTACAAGTTAGGGTTTTACACTGAATGGGAGGACCGCCTACCACTAATAAAGCACTGTATTCCTTCTAACCACGTCAATGCAAGTTATCCTTAATATTTCCACGTGCAAACTTGAAAATTCCAATTCCTTAGATACCGTGCCAACCCCAGAAAAGAGAGAAAAAGCAAAGAAAAAACTCACACACTTAGGCATAACATGAATGCCATCATCATCAAAACAAAAGGGATGATGGAGGAAAATAGAGAATACATTTTTGTTGTTTTAGGATTTGTGGAGGTTGAAAAATTACAGAAACTTGAAGGAGAACTAGGGAAAAGGAGGGCCTCATTCAGGATTTCATAAAATGCAAGTTGCTTTGAGCCATTTCAGTTTAATCATTGCATTGGCATTGACTAGCCAATTGCCTAAGAATTTTGGAGGCCCATTGATTAGGCAACTAATTATGTGGATGATATTTTTTTGATCAATAATTATGTGGATGATATAGATATAAACATCTTAGTGCGGGCAAGTAACTAGTATTCCCCCTTTATATATTTGCTAGCAAATTTGCACCTGTTTTGCACGTGACAATTTTAGGTGATGATGATGCTGATGATAGTAATATGTCCAAATTTTTCTATAACTTTTTTATATTTTTATGTGTACAAAACAATTCTTATTTATCACTCTTGTTTTTGTCCAATATGATGAATATATAATATTAGAGATGTGCCCAAATGTTTTCAACAAAATTTCTATATTTTTTCATAATTTTTTTTGTGTTTTATCCTTTTTAATTTTTATTATTTAATTATCATACCAAGTGTTGAAAAATTTCACCTAAAGGTTGAGTTGTTGACCCACCACCAAACAGGAAAAGAATTTCATTTTTGTGTAGGTTTTACATTTTGTATTTCATTTCCATCATCAATAAAAACAATTCATATTTATCCCACTTATTTTTCTTTAATATGACTAATATAAAACATTATAGATGTGCGCAAATTTTTCAATAATTTTTTGTATTTGTTTTTATTTTAAAATCTTATTATTTAACTATGACATCATGGGTCAATCCATTTGGTCCCAATGGTTTAATTGCTTCCCACCACTTGGACTGAAGAACGGTTTTGGTTTTGAGTTGGATTTAAAAACATGAGTTTTTATATTGCTAAAAGTATTAGATATAGATCTAATTGGTAGAATTAATTGGTGAGAAAAATACCTTAAATATAGGATTTAATGAGAGAGAATGGGAGCTAATACCTTAGGTATAAGACTTAATGAGAGGGAATTGAATGATGTGAAAAGTAGATTAAGTAGTAGTTCAAATTAAATTTTCTGCTCTCACAATTAGAGAGGGACCAACTTCAAAAATACCTTAAATATAGGATTTAATGAGAGAGAATGGGAGTTAATACCTTAGGTATAAGACTTAATGAGAGGGAATTGAATGATGTGAAAAGTAGACTAAGTAGTAGTTTAAATTAAATTTTCTGCTCTCACAATTAGAGAGGGACCAACTTCAAAAATAGGTGTATTTTAGTCAAGAATGTGTATGTGTGTGTGTGTGTGACAACTAGGACTCTTTATGCTTATGTGTATGCCTATTATTCAAAATATTTTCATTGTTTCAACCCCAACTTCCCAAGGCTTAAGGGAAAAAGAGGGAAGGCCATGTGGAGGACAGTAAGAGCAGCAATAGTATGGTCGATTTGGGAAGAAAGAAATAACAGAATATTCAATGAAAAGAACAGTTCTAAGGAGGGGTTAACTGAAGCCATCTTAGTGAGAGCCGCACATTGGGTAAAAACTTTGGAATTGTTCAAGGACATTGTTAGAACTTGGTTTGAAGTAGCACAAATAGGTAGACACATTGAAGAAGTGAAAAGGGACTGGAAACCCCCGGTTGTTAATAAGTTGAAGCTGAACTTTGATGGAACTCTATGGACAATCTGGGAAGAGCAGACACTGGGGGAGTGATTAGAAATCACTAAGGAGTGGTGGTAGTGATGTATTCAAATTCAGTTGGCTTAGGAGACTCGGTCAAGGACTTGGGCTGAAATCATGGCACTCTTACAAGGAATGAGACTAGCACTACAGCTTGGTCTCAGAGACATGGAAGTTGAAGGAGAATCACAATTAGTTATTCATTGGATAAAGCAAGTCAAATCAGTGCCTTGGAAATACAAACATGCTTTTAGGGAAAATGATGTCATAGCAAAACAAATAAATTCTAGTTTCAGCTAGGTGAGAACTACAAATGGGGTGGCAGGTGTTCGAGCCAAACAGGGAGTTGATAGACCAAACTTATTCTGGGAAAATTGTAAACTCATGTGATTAGGGTGTGTTAACAGTTGTACTAAGCTTTTTTAATTTATTAGTGAATCACTGAATCCTTTTGCTGATAAAAAAAGTGTAAGGGATTGTTTGATAACAGCTGAAAAGCTTATTGCTTTGTCTTTTAGTGAATAAGATTTTTCTTTTGTTTTTTAAAATACAGTTTTTGTCCAAGGGCTACATAATGGGGGTATTCCATCCCCCAACCCAGGTGCAGGCGGGATTTGATCCCAAGTCTCTGCTACCACCAGCAGGAGACCTTACCAACCACTCGGTTGGCACCTTGCTTGAATAAGATTTTAAGGAGGTTGTGAGCTCCTCAATAGCTGAAAAAGAATCTTGCAAACATTCAGTGTGTAAACTGCCCTCTTTGAAAAAATCCTTAGAACCTTGAAACTGTACCTTCCAATGCCCGTACTCTTAGTGTACAGGGTTGCACCAAACCTCCTTCGTTGGAAAGAATCTTGCCATGTTAGAGGACTGGAGAAGAGAAGTGTAGAAAGAACTAGTAAAAAACAAATGAGAAGATGACCAAATTCTGCTGTCCAAGTAGGACTGGTCCAATAACACTATATTAAGAAGGGCAATGAGATCATCGACCATTCCCATTTTAGACTCCCTCAACCTCCTAGTCCCAAGAATTACCATTTAGATAGACAACGGAAATTGTTTTATCTTTGTTCGATGAGGGAGTAGATGGGACGGGAATCTATCTTCGAAGGAGATGTCCCCAAACCATACATCTTCCCAGAAGCACACTTTATTACCTACACTATACACAAGCATCGAATCTAATATACAGAAGAAAGGAGGGCAAAATGCCATGGATAGCTTTCCACCGAGATGATTGAGATGCCCTAGGGTCAAGACCAACATCACAACCACTTTCTGCCAATTCATATATACTCACTATAACTTTATGGCACAAGTTATCCTGCTTCAGAGGTAGTCTCCACATTCCACAACCACTTTCCCACCAAAACTATGTTTCTTAGCTTTATATTTTCTTATACCCAGCCCTCCACTATCTATACTTCTAGAAACCACCTCCCACTTCTCCAAATGATCTTTTTTTTTTATCTCCTGGTTCTCATAAGAAATCCCTCATTAATTTCTTCAGTTTATTAAAGTGATTCTACTCCTAATGAGATTTAATTTCTCTTTCACCCTACAAGCCTCTTTCTCAGACTTTGAGTTCCCTCATAAAGGTAATCCTAGGTATTGTAACGGCCAATCTCCAACCTTGCATCCTAGCAACCTAGCAAGGTTTCCCACCTCTTCTTCCGATCTATTTACCCCTACCCCACAACTCTTTCCCCAATTTACTTTGAGATTAGAGACCCTTTCAAAATGAGTCACCAACCTCTTCAAATTGATCAATTCCTTCCTTTCCCCTTCACAAAATAAAATGATGTCATCCGCAAATTGTAAATGTGTAACCACCACTACTTTCCTCTCAATTCTCCAGCCTGTAATCATATTATTAGTATCAGCCCTAACAATCAAATCACTTAAAATGTGGCTACTAGGGTGAAGTGGAAGGAGGAAAGGGGACCTCCCTGTCTAAGACCCTTTCTACCCGAGAAGAAATCCCTAGCTACTCCATTAACCAACCTCGCATCCTAGCCTAGCAAGGTTTCCCACCTCTTCTTCCGATTTATTTACCCCTACCCTGCAACTCTTTCCCCGATTTATTTTGAGATTAGAGACCCTTTCAAAATGAGTCACCGACCTCTTTAGATTGATCAATTCCTTCCTTTCCTCTTCACAAAATAAAATAATGTCATCCACAAATTGTAAATGTGTAACCATCACTGCTTTCCTCCCAATTCTCCAGCCTCTAATCAAATTATTAGTATCAGCCCTAACAATTAACACTTAAGCAAGTCATAAGCTTTTTCTAGATCAAGTTTACAAACCAGACCTTTCTCCTTTTTCCAACCCTTGTACAACATACATTTTTTTTATCAGTGAATATTCAGATTTATTAAATCAAAGTCAAAGATAGTACAACTTAGGGAGAGGCACGAGATGCTACCTCCCCTTTAAAGAGGGGAGATGGAAGAAACCATCAACCCTTTAGTTAAAGAACATAACAAAGGAAAAAGAAAATTACAATGAAGCCCAATACAATGAAACCCAAGTTGCCCCTTGTTTAGCAAGATAATCAGCCAAGGCATTAGCCGATCTACCTAGCCACTGAACTCTAACTGTCAAACCCCTCAATAGCCATTTAACCTTTTTTAAAATATCCTTAAAGTTCCAAGTGACAGTACCGGGGTCAGCCAACCATCCTATTACCACCTTGGAGTCTCCTTCATTAAGTTTTGCACTCCGAGTTGATAGGCAATCTATACCCCCTATGCCGCAGCTAGGAGTCCAGCCCTCACAGAGTCTCCTATTCCCACCGGTCCTGAAAAAAAGGCAATAATGTTGTTG